ATACTTCAGTTTAGGTCATTTGGGAAGTGCTGAAGAGTTTGAATCTAGGACAAAACCCGATTTCTAGCACAATCTGATGGTTTATGAAATCGATGAAATAAATTTTAGAAGACACATTTAAATCCCTCTTTTTGCATGCACAAAGTTTACGTCGGTCATTAGGCTGAGCAGTAATGTGATCATATCTTACCGGTCAGTCTGAGATAAGAAATAAACGATGTTCTGAAATGTAATAGTTTCTGTTACAAATTATACCACGCGATATGTAAAAAGAATATCAGGATATCAGCATTAATTGTTTCGTTATTATCTTAAAACTACTAAAGGCCAATAATTTGCCTCTATTTCATGCGCACATGAGTTCAGAAATAGATAATTTTGTGCAGAATAGGTGTATCTTCAGTGTCCATCCAGTCAAGTGTGAAAATGGATGTCCCGCCGATGACATTGGTTGGGGTCGCACTAAATCACGAATTGGTAGAAGTTAGAATTTTATGGGCTATTTAAGTGGGTCCCAGTGGCTGAATGGTATATGAGCTTGCCTTGTAACTGGAAGGTCCTGGGTTCGAACCCCTGTGGTGGGTGCGTACTGCAGATGATTCCCAAACTAGGATGAAACAGCTGTCCAGTACTCCTTGTTGGACTTCAATGGTTCTCTAACTGATATCAATCCGTGGTCATACTCGTAAAAACAAATCTAATCCTTACAAACAATTAAAAATAAAAATGAAGTATATTGATACATCACAATATCATAAAGAGATACATTGTTTGATACAATCGGTTCACTTTATGGATATAGAGAAAACAATTAAACTTAATTCATCTGAATCTTGTGATGTATATGTGCAATACATTCTAGACAATCTGATCATACACTTATCATAGGAATTTCCATTAAAAATTAATAAAGCGGTAAGGGTGCGTCGGTGGCACGGCGGTTAGGATGCTCGCCGACCATGCACATAGTCCGGGGTTCGATCCTCCGCCAACTCACTCCTTTACCTCGCTAAGCCAGAAATAATGCTGGTGAAGAGGAAAGGTTGGGCATGAGGTTAGCAACCCCATCCTGTAAAATAAACACTTACAGAAACTTCAAGCCTCTAGCTTGAAGCCCTAAATTCCACTGGGGAACGTGAGGGAAAAAAAGCGGTAAGGGTTGAGATAATGAACATAAATCAAATTAAAAGTCCATACTGAAGGTTGGAGTGCAATGAAGACCAATGGAGCAAATAAAGCAGGGATAATACTGAATTTTTTGAGGTTTCTAAACAAAACTTACCAAGGTAGTCCTAGCATGACAAAAACATAAGTTCTACTTAAACGTTTTGATCGTTAAGGCTTCTACAAACACCCTCAACATGTCTTTAAAAGACAGAGGAATATCTGTTTTATATCTTGTTCCAGTAAGGATTTGCAGCTGAAGAGCCTGGCTGTTTATTTTAATCGTTAATAGGTTTGGAGGGCTCATTGTCCTTCTGAAGTCACTTAAAATTTTCATCAGTAGCCCTTACTTGTAGAGATCAAAGAGTCCTTCCTTCCAACCATATGTGGTCACTCTTACAGTTGAATTTATAGGTAGAGTGTGATGTGAAATCATTTTTCACTTTTCTAAGGGCTCAGAAGGATATTAAGACTTCCAGTTCTCAGTGATTCTGATTATGACTGTATGAAATCTTTTTGATGTCAGTATTCACTCTCTGTCTAAGTATCAAGCTACTGTGACCGTCCATTTAATACATGCTTTTTCCACAGCAAGCCGAGGAATAATCCTCGATGTTGTGACTACTTAACATCTGCTTATTTACCTGTCCCCTTAGTTATCTTCAATCAGGGTTTCTGTCAGTATTCTTTCTCCATCTTCCAGTGTATCAGCTGTGCATATTCAATGAGTCCCATTAAACATCTTGGTTGTTGTTTTACCTTCAAAATAAGTTTTTAATTTGGCCGTTTTTCATTCCCTTACCCTGTTAACGCTTTATAATTTTTAAAAAAATTCCTGTAACAAGTAGGTGTGTGATCAGAATGTTTTAAATGTGTTGTGCAGATACACTACGCAATTCAGATAAATGAAGTCTGTCTTACTGTTTTGTCGACAGACAATTGTTGATGGAGTTTCGCCCACTTTTATTTAAAATCCCTACTTGTCGAAGTCAAGCAATACTAGTTTCTTGGCAGTTAGTCTGATTCAGTTGTTTTTGAGGTAAAAGAAAAAGAAAGTCGGTGGCACAATGGTTAGGACTCTCGCCGACCATGCACATGGTCACGGGTTCGATCCCCTGCCGACGCACACCCGATATCTATGGTCGGCCTGCAAAATTTGGGCTACCGATATCCATGCTTAAAATTCCATACTTGTACCAAAAAATACGGTGTGGAATCAAGCTGTAATCAAAAAGAATAAAAAAAGTCAGCAAAGATATCTTTTCGGCGGTTCCATCCTCAAAAGCTGTACACTCGAATTTATATACGTAAGTTCACGTAGACACAGCTATTATTTAGTTCCACGGAATAACGATGGAGGTTAAAGGTTGTAATAATTTTCAAACTGATACGAAAGTCCGAAGGTGCGAATATAGATTTCAAGGGGATGGGAGGCAAAGTTACATAGGGTTAGAAAAAAGCTGCGTGTGAACGGCACAAGTTTGGAGATAAATTGAAATAAGAGCTTTTATAACTGGAAATTAAAAAAGTCAAACTAAACTAGATCCATGGTAAATATAGAGGTTGAACTAATTTCTTTTGAAAAAAACACGATACGATGCCTTTGACAAGGGCTTTTGAGGATGCAATCACTGAGAAGATATCTTCGCTAAACTAGAGGTTCTTGTTTCTCAGTAGTTTTTGACAAATTGTTTCCAGTAAATGCCTTTATGCCATGTTTGTTATCTAAATCGAGAATAAACAACCACCTTGCTTATTTTAAATATATATTCTGAATCTAAACACTTGATTTCTAAAGCTGGATATATCTTGTTGGCAGAAGAAGCATCAAAGATAGGACTTCAGGTGAACATAGAGAAAACAGAGGTGATGAAAATTCCTGGGCAACACCACCAACAGCAACAACAACAACAGACAACAATCAGCATAAATGGGAGGAACCTGAAAGAAACAACCTCTTTTACCTACCGAACTGGAAGCATCGTTTCAACTACAGGCGGACGGAACTGATGAGGATATCAAAGCAAGAATTGGAAGAACAAGACAAGCTTTCACTACTCTCAAGTCTGTGTGGAGGTGAACAGCACTCAGCATCGAAACTAAGATCCGGATTTTCAACTCCAATGTGAAGTCAGTGCTACTATACGGATCAGAGACTTGCACTGCGCGTCATAAAGAGCATCTCAAACAAACTACAGACCTTCATTAACAGTTGTCTTCGCCCAATACTCAAGATCAGATGGCCGGCCAGAAAACATCAGCTATAGGGATCTTTCGGAGCAAACCAACCAGGAACCGATTGTGCAACAAATAGGCAGGAAGAAATGGAGATGGATTGGCCATACTCTGAGTAAACCATCAGGTGACATCACTAGAAAAGCCATTGCTCGAGTGGAACCCGAAAGGGAAGCGGCGAGTTGGTCGTCAGTGCAAGGGTGACTTGGAGGAGGTCATGTGAAGAGGAGATGAAAACGTGTGGGCAGACTTGGAGCCAGGTGAAGATTCTAGCAGAGAACCGAACGCAATGGAGACGCACGGCTGAAGCCCTATGTTCCTCTAGGAATTAAAGGAAACAATAATAATGGCCTGAAGAAGTTATTGAAGGCAACTGCAATGCATTCACTTGCATATAATCATACATTTGGATGAAATAGGGTAGAAAAATTAAAAAGTAAATTGTTTAGGTGGAGTGAGATGTTACTCACTGAATCTTTGTTCGTTGAATCACTACCAAACATGTGCACTAGAAATGACACAAGTCCTATACTGCATATACGGAAAATTGCAATAAACAACAAGGGTTAGAGAAAAGTATACCAGGCAAATTATAGAGCCGTGTGGATAGATTGATATGATTGTGAGCAATAAGTTGTGCTTGAAACATCATCCAGTAATTAATACAGTATCACTGAGTGGGGTATATCGAATAAACTTGTCTAACATGGAATTATATTTTATCACAGTGCTCAAGTTCTTTCTACACAAATCATCTTAGTTCTTTTGATTTTGATGTCACATGTCGGTGGCATAGTGGCTAGGATTCTCGCCGGCCATGCATGGTCGGTCGGTCGGTTTTCGACATAGAACTTTGCACATATGTGAGGCAGTTCAAGTCGCCACACTCCATGTAGCACACAAAGCAAGAGAAGAAAGTAGAAGAAATGCATAATATAGTCAGTAAACAGAGGTGTGAGACAAAGGAATAGTAATAACGAAGAACAAAACAGTTTAACTGGAAATTATAAGTCACAAGGAGTGGATGCATCTGCGCCAGCCATTGAGAACGATTTTGAGCCATGTCACCAATTGTTTCCAACCATTGGTTTTTACCGTCCTGAGGACCCCAACCAGTCAGGAAGTCTACATCTTCCTACGTGGCTTAGACTAACTGTTGTGGATTTCATTGGCTGGTGCCATGTTTTCGTTTTTACCACCGCTAGCTCTTTTCCAGCCGACCATGCACATGGTCTGGGGTTCGATCCCCTGCCGACGCACACCTGATATCTATGGTCGGCCTGCAAAATTTGGGCTACAGATATCCATGCTGAAAATTCCATACTTGTACTGAAAATACAATGTGGCATCAAGCTGTAATCAAAATAAATAAATAAAAAAAATAAAAACAAAGCAGTCTTTATATTTTTTCACACAATACTATAAATCTGATTGATCTATTGTTAAGTTGCACCATGGTTTAAAACTAAATTATGATTGGATTAGAATTCGACCAGTCATACACCAGCTATATACTGATACTTGATACTTCGTAAACTTTGGTCATTTGTGATTATATATATTACTAAGAAAGAAGTGAGCATTCTAAGTTTGCTTAAAAAGTGTGTAAGGCTACAAATCAGTAAACCTTTCACTTCTGCTGTGCAAATGACATCGAAAATGAAACAGCAAAAATTAAAATCTCAATTTTCACCAATTATCTACCATTTAAAACCAGTTTTGGAGCCAGTCAGTTCACCGGAGTCAGTTGAAACAAAACTATTTGAAACTGAAAGTGAAACAATCGATGATTACACTGATGCAGAGTTAAAATCTCTGACTTTAAGAACTGAAGTTTCCAACAGTCCGGAGGCTGTAACACCAACTCTAATAAGCTGTCCAAAAATTCCATTAACTGGAAGGTCTGATACACTTTCAAGTAATTCAGACATTCAATTTCTCGATTCGTATCATTTCTCCGATAACAACAGAAATACAACGCACAGACCAGTTGTGATGAATTCGGATGAAGATGAAAATCCAGATATTCCTATACAAAAATTCCCTGTCCCGTCATCATTATCATCTAAAGAAAATACTAATGCATATAAGCATCCTAACTCTAGAAATGTGAAATCTTATTCTGAAGATAAAATACGCTTTAAGAACACTTCAAAAATAAACGCTAATCAGTCAAGAAAAATGGAAGTCCAGACGCTCCCATCAGAAAAAAGTCCCTCTGAAAGGCAACGAATAGAATATCACATAAAATCATATGAAATTCCCGAAGAAGTAGAAGAAAAGGAAACTCAATTCTTCCGGAGAAAACCAGTACAAAAGCCTACAGGATTGAAATTTGATCTTAAAATAGATATGGAGAAGTCGAATAATGGTAAGGATAAAATTAATTGTTATCAATACATCGAATCGAATAGTGACAGTAATAGAAAGGTTAAACATCCATTAAAACAATGCTCAATGATTAATCTGAGTATGGATTCGCTAAAAAACCGAAAATTGAACTGTAGCCTTGATTCAATACAACAGACTGTTAAAAATCGTGATACAAATGATTTGAACAGCTATACTGTCACATCAGATGAAGAAGAAGAAAATGATGAAGCTGTAAAAATTTCACAAGACAGTAGTGATGATAATAACAAAGATCAGACGATATCCACATTTCATTCAAATAAACATAAAAACCAGCTGAAACGTAGTGATTTTAGACCAAAATCACGCAGATGCCAGTCAGTAACTGGATGTAAAACTGTGAATCAATGTTCTACCGAGGATGAACAAACAAATCAACATCTGGATAGAAGTCACAGTCAAGATATAATTTGTTTAAAAAGCCGAAATAAATTACCACAGAAAAAGTTGTACAACAGAAGAAAGGCGACGTTATATAAAGAGGAATCTGATGATAATGTATACAGTCAAGTAGATCCCAACCAACATAGATGCGGTAATCTATCTTATAGAACAGATTCATTTTCGAGTCAAAAGGTAATAAATTTATTTCAGTTAACAATTTTCACCTGATAAATTCAGATTTATTAAAAGTATTATGATATTTTTCCTTAGAATGCTTCCAGAAACGTTTAATATCTTCTAAGGGTGAATATTCTTAAGACAGGAGTAGAAAGTCGAGTTGATCAGTGATATCGTCATTCTTTATTCGACTGATGTGACTTCCATCTGATGCTACTTACACTGAACTATAATTGTTATATATATGTAATCAGTGTTTATTAATAGAACTATACGAGTGATCATACAGCCAACTGATGCAATTTTTTACATGTCTCGAAGTTATGTTCCCGTTTTTTTAAAAGCCCATTTTCAGGTGGTTGTTTAAGTCAGTCACATTAATCAGCATTTCTGTAATATGCCAAATGTATTTACATAACAATCAACTATGTATTAAAGCTAATTTAAAACATTTTAAATCACATTTTATTCGGTATACTTCTTCATATAATCGTTGGTAAAACAAGAAAGAGTTAAGGTGTCTTAAAAATTCAAGTTTTAATATTTCATATGTTCAATTGATTGATCAACTCTGAAAAGAGGGATTACAACGAATAAATTGGTCACTTAGAACTGGCACACTCGATTCACTTAGAAACATCTTGATCTAGAATTCGATTGCTTTTCAAAATTATGTCGTAGTAGATTTCAGGAATGACAAACCTTCTTTGTGTATGACACAGATAATGTTTCTAAACATTGTTAAAGATACGGAACTATACAAAAATGGTAAAGAAGTGTCAAAACTAACATTTAGTCTCCATGTAGGGAATAAAATTCTTGCATACACTGAAGGTTATTTTGATCCTGATATTACTCATGTGGGAACTGTGGATGAAAACGTGAAAAAGCTACCTCATTATAATTGATCCCTACCTTCTAAAGTTTCGACCCATCGTTAATGATTGCACCGAAGAGGGCATTTGTAAATGGCTGGTATTTTGCAATCTTATGTATATCTCTGATAGATGATCATTGTAGGTCACTAACACACAAAGGAGTTTATTTCTCTTCAGGTGATAATTTTGTCAAATATTGTTTATAAGTGTTGTAGTTAATATGTTACTGTTATTCATATTACATTTAAAACTATATCAATAAGCCGTATTCACTTAGTGGAATGTTTATTTTCTATAGTTTAGTTCTCCAACTGATATCAATCCGTGATCAACTCGTAAAATCATAAGTAACCCTTACAAACCAAACTATAGAAAATTAATCTGATGCTCGCTAGTGACTGACTTGCTACAAAATGGAGTTTCCTGGAGTTCTAGTGAGAAGTCGTGACCAGTGAGGTCCAATTGGATGTCACCTGTGTGGATGGATGTCCCACTAACGACAATGGTTGGAGTCGCGCTAAATCACAAATTGGTAGAAGTTAGAATTCATGAGCCATTGAATCTGGTCCCAGTGGCTGAATGGTATACGAGCTTGCCATGTAACCGAAAGGTCCTGGGTTCGAATCCCTATGGTGGGTGCGTACTTCCGATGATTCCCAAACTAGGAATGTTTATTGACGTCAGCATAAACTTCTTTTTATATTCTTTATTCAGACTCAGTACTTGACTTATTCAGATTGGGGTGATATTTACATGAGATTTAAATTATTAGTTGTAAATGGCTTAGATTCATAAATAAAACAATACCAGAAATTATAAAAAGGATTCATATGGAGGGAATAATCCTTATTATAGTCATTCAATAAAGTCCCCATTGCGAAGAGCCTATCCTCTGTTTAGTATGAATTTCGAGATGAAGTTGTACTATGGTTCACTGTTTTGATTCATATACTAGGACAACAATATGGTATTCATTTGAATGCACTACTGTTGTTGAAATAAGCAACAAAATTCAGCGTAATATACACTGCTGATGAACATCAATTGTTGAAAACCAATCGTGTGAAACAGTAGAACCCATTAAGTAGATCAAGATGATCTTCATAGCAAACACTCATTTTAACTGCCTAAGACTGAGTTCCTCAGAAGTACATTTGAAGACAGCCTAATAAGTTTAAATCAGGTTTATTCTGGATACCCAATTGGATGAGCTAATTACATACGATTCCATCATATCAATCAGTAGTATGTGTCGTATCGCAATTTCATCCGCTTTCTTTATGGTATTCACTATGTTAAACAAGTTACCCATTGTAACTTGAATACTTTGTGTTCTCTAAGAAAACAGTGGTAAAGTTTCATCTTTGTAAGAATCTATCTGCAATTTAAGTATAAACATTCGCCCAATTACTTAGCCAGAATAAGTGTGGTTTGAAATAATTCAGCCATCTCAATGAAGTTAGCCCTATTAGACTTCTAATGAGCTAGACTTTAAATAAGAGTACTAGTGGTTAACATGGTTGGTTTGTAATCACTCATATAAATCGGTAAAAACATAAAGTTGGTTGTTGAAGATATTTACAGAAAGTTGTTTTAAAACTTGTAGCAAAAGAAAGTGAGTTCATTTCACTTTTTTGTTCTTAAGCAGTAATACAATAAATTATTTAAAAACACTTCGTTCTAAATGTTCATTATCTAGTCTTGCTACTGACTTTCATCTCGCTTCTTATTTGTGTCCTTTTCTGATGAACCCTATCGCAGCTTTTGTTTTTATTCTATAGATATCTTAATCACTATACATTGAATATTTTCCAGATTTCAAAACTTCTGTGCTTCATCAGTCTAAGAATATTTCATAAGTGAAAAAGTTTTTGAGATGTTTGGTGTTGTTTTTTTATAAACGCATTCCCTCCTTGATTTAAGATTGAAAGAATAAAGCAGAAAAATTCGTTTTCGAAGGTTATTTACTGTAGGGTAATAATTGTTATTTTTAAGTTATTTGTAAATTATAATAACTTGAACAGATTCAATACTGCAATGGATAATATTCACTTTTTCTTTCTGTGTTCCTAAAACTTTAGTATATCTTAAATTAACCTATGCTACCACTTTGATAAATTTCAGAAAACTGAATTTTACATGATTTTTACCTTTAGTTTCTCTAAAATGGAATCGCCTTAGAATATTTAAAATACCTTGATATGAAGGCTGCCTGCTTAAAACTTGGGCTACCCAAAACTTCCATCTCTCTATTGCATATATTTTCTCCCGTTTGGTTTGTTTTAATCGATTAAGATATGACCTCTAATGCTATTAACTACTCTTGTGTGTATTTAAAATGTTTACAAGCTTCTAATTTGCAAGTTCCTACTAAACTTGAAGAAAGAGCTGATTGTGGGTGGCAACGTGTTCCAATACATGAAATAACTATTCTTCAGTTATTTCCTTGGGTCTCAAAATGTACTTCTGAACATCTCACAATTGGCTTTCAACTAGATATCGCGGATTTCTCGGAGACAAAGCAGAAATATCATAATGGAATGGTTTGTGCTTTAGCTTAGAAACCATTGTGTCACAGGATATACCGTTACTTAATATATTACTTGAAGACATTGTACAAAGGGAAATGTGCAATAAACTCTGCTGAAATTTGTGTACATTATATAAATACTGTTTAGAATAAAGCTGTTATTATTATTACCTACTAATCATCTTTAAAAAGAATGGATATCCTCACAATTTCATCACAAAGTGTTTATGCTCGAGTCATAACACCGACAACAGGCCATCATCAAAGACCAGAAGAAAATTCGTCCTACCATATATAAAAATTATCTCTGAAATAACAGCTAGAATATTCAGACCATTTGAAACTGATATAACATACAAGCCAGCACAATCACTTCATTCGGTATTGTGCAAACCAAAAGATCCAACAGAAAAAAAGATAAAATTAATACCACTTACAAAATAAAGTGTATGTATGAATCCGAATCCAAGGACACAAATTGGCTGTAAAAAGATATGATCTATATTCTTTCGTATCGGTGCATGTAGATAATTATGTACACCAATTTGTTTGGCATAATGTAGAAATTATAAATAGAGGAAACACCAGAAAAATGCCAGGGAATTCCTAGCAGCTTGTACTCAAGGGAATTAGCTATTAACAAACGCATTATTACAGACCAAATTTACCAGCTGATGAAAATTAAATCCCATGAGAAGAAAGTACTAATTCCAAGTCAATAAAAATATGATCAGTAGAGACGTAAATTAACAACCAGTCACGACAGTGGTCGCCAGGAGATACAATTACATCATTCATGGAGAATTTAAATGAGTTCATTTTACATTAAAACCTGCGCTGAAGATGTTGTCTAGATGGGGGACGACGAAAGCTTCTCAGTTGAATCAACCTGCTCAGAGAACACAACTAATTCAATATTTAAAATCCAATGAATGTGTCTACTTGATTGTCAGTAGTTGATGAAATTTCATTTCAGACACTAACTCAGTATTCACCAATTTCAGACTCTAAGACGTTATTGTCAAGACGGCTGTGCTAAAGCGCCTACATCTTTGCATCGTACATCAGGATATATATAGTAGAAATATCACCATTAACAATATCAAGTCTGCTTTTAAAATTTTTTTTCAGAAAAGAAAAAGCTTTTGATTTATCTGACCTTAATTATCTTTCCTCTTGTTTGATACGACGTCGTGAGACGTTATATTTCTTATCATTTTTTGCTTAGATTGTTAAAATATGATTGTATTTCCTACTCCGAAAACATTTCCAATCAAAATAAGCTGTATGCTGGACGCTTCGTTTTGACTTTACTGAACTAATGTGCAGCTTGGAACACACTCTATCTTTTCATGGTATATTGTATATATAATTTTTAGTGTACAGTATACTGACTGTTCACTTTGGGAGTCATCAAAGTAATATGCTTAGTTCTTAGTGTTGGTACTGATTATATTCAATCGGTCATCTTCAATGTAGTTCTAAAGTTAAGTGACTGTCCATCGCAACACACCTTGAACTAACGTCAGGTGTTTGGAAACAATCGGCAGGAACGTGCCCCTGCTACCTTGGAGTCACTGGTGGCTCTCTTTGAGATTCGAACCTATATCACCCGGTTATACAGTGATAGACAATAACAATGAGTTATTCGGCTTTGGGTCTTTCTGAAGAGTCTCAATTGGCACGAAATTTGGGCTCCGTGCGTCCTGCTGATAACATCCAACTACCTAACATAGTGTACAGTAGTCTCGTCTTACCCAGCTTAGTGGTGACACTATATGTTACTTTGTTAAAATTTAAACAGTCCACCAAGGGCTGAATAATTACTTTGTTTACTGTTTGTTGACCACATCATAACTGAATCCCTTATGGGTAAAAATACGACTGTGACCTAGCCCATTTTTCGGAGTCATTTATCCTCTGTATAAATTTCTACACTACATTTTCCATTACGAGAATGTGTATGTTACGGTGATAAATATATATAATTCCAAAAGTGATGAATCCTGACCTATTTGGTTGGACTTTAGTTTGAAAAATTTCCCTCATTCTCTCTGATATCCTAATTTTCATGATATTTTCCGCTTTTAATTGACAATACAGTTCCACAAACGAGATCTTAACTACATAATCTTATCATTCAAAATGATCCTTGAGTTACATAGGGATAATCGATACCAATCTTGTTTAGAAAAAGAAACAACAAATATTGAATCCTGTTAACAAAGATGTATCCAGCATCATGTTCAAGTGAGATTTATTGATAAAATCTGCCACCCAAGTAAACTCTTTAAGTTGTGATTTCTACATTTGCTTGTATAAGTGTGAGGTCAACAGTTATTGATTTAAATACAAGTTCTTATACCACTTCCATTTCCGTAGCATGATAATTAAGTTTCCATCGGTGATAGTTATTGTTTTTTCTGGACAGAAAGCCTCAATCTCCTCAAATATATTAAATTTCATACTTAGAAATTGAGAGAAATGAATGCTTAGGACAACATTTATATGCATTCCTGAAATAATGTCATAATCCATTCAGAGTATGCAATGAAGACTAGACTGTTTATTTTATTTGGTAAGTAGCCAGTGTTACTTTCATTATGGCATTTACACATTGCAGTGTGTATTTACTTTTTCAAAAGTTATTATCTGTTTTTATTTTATCTCCTCATTTTTTTCTCTAGTTACAGCCTACAAAATCCAAATCACGTTCAAGCAGTCGAGTCCGTAGTTCTTTGAAAGTAAGAAATAAAAGTAATGAGAGAAGTGATTGTAATCACACTAGTCACAATAACAGTAATAACACTAATAATAATAATAGTACACATTTTAATCATCATGAAAGAAGACTTCAAAGTCCGAAAAATCGAAGAACTCGTATTGGTCAATCACCAGCTAGAAGTAAAAGTAGCTACTTCAAAGGTGAAAATTACAATAGACCTATTCATTCACCAGTCAGCTACTATTTAGATCTTGATGACAAAGTGGACTATGGTCGAAGTTATACAGATTATCAATCTAAATTTAGTCCTGTAAGTAAATTGGTGATTTATTTGTTCTTTTTGTATTTAAATGTTTCTCGTAGGTAACAGTTAACTTCTTTGTGAAATGAAGTTTAATTAGTGAGAATTAGTAACATAATCTGGTAAACGACGTAATTCGGTAGGCGGCTTTATTAGCTACTTTGATGTTCACAGCTGCCAGTCTTTTACTAACTAACGTTTAAATAACACAACAAAAACAGTAGTGGGCTTTTTAAAGGCAGCAACTACCGAGTGAAATTTTTAGTACTCCTTATAATGAAAATAAATCACAACTACTGCCTGTATATATATATCACCAAATAAACATTTTTGTTTAAATTTATTATTTAAAGAAAGGGTATCATCAAAACTTTAAAAATAAGTCGCAAGAATAAAAACTGTGTTAAGTTTGCTACCTGTTGTACAACTTCAAAGTAGACGAAGGACGAGTTGTCCATTCAACGGTTTGTGTTACCCCTTTAACCAATGTTTAGCTTTGTTGGGTAAAGACAGAAAGAATTTCATTCAACGATAAATGAATGTCTTCTTGTTTGGTAAGAAGCATCACACTGATGAAATGTTTTCTTTTGTCATTTTACATATGGTTTTGAAACACTGCTGGATTTGTTAACTTTCAATTAATAAGCATATTATAGGTATTAACAACAATATAATTTTATCTGATTCTTTGTTCCTTCATAGTTTCTTTCTTCAATTCAGTAGCAATAAAGCAAGAACAACAAAAATTGCCAAAGGGTTATAATGTCTGAGATAATTTTTTCCTTGGTTACACTGAATAACTATCATTTGTGTTTAACCCTCTTCTTAAAATTTACGATCTTTCAAAGTCTTTTTAAAAATGTAAACATTAAATTACTAATTATTCCGTATATCGTGTTCACTTGATCATCCTTGTCAAAGCAAGAAGGTTGCAACTTGAAGCTGAATATCTTTTATGCACAGCGTTAGCGGTTTTGTTGTATCTTCACTATGTAAGGGAGCCAATTCAGATTATCTAAGAATTGTGCCAATTGATTTCTTCAAGGGATTTGTTGGTGTTTAGGGAGTATGTATCAAATGACACCAGGAATTTGTTGGAAGTCTTCAAATCACTCAGTTTCTTAGCAAACTGAGTAGTATTTTTGAGTTTATGTACAGGTAATCTATCGTGAATGAGTCACAGATCCTCCACTAGCCAGTGGGTTAATTAATGATACAAAGGATTCACCAGTAATGTCACTCGCCACAGAGAAATATTTGTTTTTTCGTTTTCGGGAAACCATGCATAAACGGTAACAACGGTCCTCTGGATCTCAGGTCATTCACCATAAGTTGCATCACAGATCAACCCCCTCTACTGTATGTCCCATAAATCATTTAACACGCACTTCTTTGTTGTTAGATTCGTGTCTAACTTGGCAGTGCTGGGTACAAACTTCGATGAGTCATTTAATATGATGAGTATCTTGTTTAATTGTCTGCGTTTATTCACAATAACGACTTCAGATCCTTTATTGAATGTCATAATTCATTTTTCAAGTATTGTTTTTGTAGGGATTTTCGTTTGATTGGTCGAAGGACTTCATCATGAGCTGACATCAGTTAGAGAACCATTAGAAAGCCTGGGAGTACTGGACAGTTGTTTCGCCCTAGTTTGGGACTCTACATCAGCACACACCCACCGCCAGGGTTCGAATACAGGACCTTCTGGTTACAAGGCTTGCGAGCTCGTAGACCATTAAACCACTGGGACCTGATCCTATGGTTCGTGAATTCTAACTTCTATCGCGCTATGTCATGAATCGACAGAAAGTAACCAGTTTCAACATTGTGTAATAGACCGCTATATTATAAATGCATTTGCAGTGAAGGTTTGCATACAATGGAAATTGTTTTGAGTAATACTACGAGCAAAGTAAAAGTAACCTTAGCGTTGCAAGTAAATCTTCACTATCACTTTGTTCATAGTATATATATTCAAATCAAGTATAAGAATCTTGGAGAAATTTAGCTGTGAAGAAAGATGGTAGCTTTTTTATTGTTCTCCGAGCTTTGTTATCTAATTGAAAACCTTTCATCATCAGTTTTTATGGTATCATTGGCAATAATTTAATCACAAAGTAAAGTGTACTTGCAGATTCCATGAAGAAGTGGGTAATGTCTTCCTGTTCTACTTAGATTTTATTTACTTATGAGTAGTACAATAGGCTCTCATTACAATGAAATTTTCAAGATAAAATTCAGTGGAAGATACATTGATGAAATTATACTCCTTATCGCTGCCATCATACATTATTTACCGATATACTTTTACAGCTACCACCCTATCATTTGGTGGTCATTTGTTTACTAGTAAATCGTCTGTGTTAGATAGATATTTCATAATTCCTTTTGTCTAACATTCTTTACCCCACACGGTATTCTTCAAGAAGATTCTGACACAATTGTGATCCGATTAAGTATTATTAACTTTCCCAGTTCTTCTTATAATCGGAGGTATAATCTTATGGTTAAAACGTGAAACGAGTGATAATTTTAATTAGAAACAAAGCAATGAAGGTGGTCTGAGCTTTAGGCATCTGTTTCTATTAAATAGTTAATGACTGCGCCGGACTAGTTGAGCATATAAAGTTCAGTTTGTTTCACTTAGACTGAATGGATGTCGTCCACACTAAAGTAAAAAATAACAGGTGAATGCAAAACTAGTGATCCAGAATATGTACACAATATGTGTATGGATAAAAATAATCCTTTTCTTTTTCTGCAAAGTAAATTAACTACTCAAAACCCAGTAAGTAGCTTAATTAATTTACTAAAATGTCATGACAACTTTTGCCAAATGCATCACACAGTCATGAGATATTGCAAAAGATCTAGCTTTCATCTAGAGCATTTCAGTAATGTCCAAACTTATTTAACAGATACAGCTTCAGATCTCATGGCATACGCGTTACTTTCAGCAATTCGAAGTTCCAACGCTCATCGAACAACATTCCAGTAAGCTAAGGCTTCTCATAACTTTATTTTTCCTTAAAACTAGTTTAAACTAATAAAACTCCTGAAACTATCTTTCATAGCTAATCAGACTCACTCAAATGACTACCGGAAACTAAAGTACGATTAGGTAGCCATTCTGTCTCCTCCTAACTCTCGCAGAATGTATTGTATGTATTCTATTCTTCTTCCTGCTATTCAAAGTGAGATTACACTTAGATGCATTTCATCACATATTTTAAAACCCTTAGTCATGTTTCTGCATGCTTGTTTATGCAGTTACTCTTGTTAATTAGCTGCTTTTCCTTATATTCCTCTGCCTTATTAGCTTTTTCTGACAGATTAATCACCTATCGGCATTAATTATTGACTTATATAAGTGTTTGGTGCACAGATACTAAGCAACAGAAATTGCCACCGTGTAAACTTAACCCACAGGTCGATAGAACACCGACAGGGAATTTATGTAATTACACTGGTCTTCATGGTTAAATGTGTGAATTTTTTGCTGAAGTGCTTTTCAACTACAAATTATGTTGTGAGTACTTCTAAGTATAAATAATAATAGCTTTATTCCAAACAGTATTTGTGGTACAGGTATGGAAATTTCAGGGTGCATTACAATATTGCATCTAATTACCTCATAAATTTTATAAGATTTTAAAAATAAAAAGCAACAACAACAAAAAGAAAAAAAGAAAAATAAAAGAAATAAAAAAGAACAGCATTGCATTCACATATTTAAACAATGCACCACAGGATATGATATATAAAATTAGTCTGTAATAGAATATGTGAGCAACAATATAGCAGTAACAGAGAAAGGAGAACAAAGCTAATGGGAACTATTTGTTAGAGTGCCACAGTAAGTTGATCGTGTCATACCTGACGGATTTCTCATCATATAACAGCTGTGCCAGATAAGGTATTCTGGAGTTTTTATACTTGGTAGTCCTAGCATATAGCCTCCTATAGTTGCTTCTAGTTCTACCAGATAAAATACAAGGAGAGAGCTGCATATAGAGAGGATGCTCTGGGTCTGACAATATAGAATTCGCTAGTTTCTTACATGACATTATATTTCTATCCACAATGGTGTTAACCAGTTGGTTTAACGAAATCCCACTTGCCCTACTAACAGCTTTTAGTGCCCTACGCAGCAAAGCAAAGTCTTTCTTATGTAGTCCAGGAAAGATTAATGGGGAACAGTAAAGAGGGATGGTTGGAATACAAGAGTTGACAAACTGAGAAAGCAAAGCAAAATGTCTTAATACACTTGATTCATATTTTTCATTTTTCCGCGGCTCTATAAGGGATTTTATTCTATGCAGTGCTACTAATTTGGTTGAATTTTCTTTTATCCGTGACTAAATTTGATTCGTGAAATGAGTAAAGAGCTTCACTGCATCCGAAAAAAAATTCATCGAGTTAAAAAGTGATACACAACAAACTTTAAAAATTCTTATTCACCCTGAATAGGTGAAACACGCCATTTTTCATTCATATTTGATGACTGTTTCTCCAGTAAACTGAACACAGAATTGTATCTGCTGATCATCCACTACTAATTCATAAATAGCTTAATCTTGTGGTCATTTTTATCGACTCTTAATACGATCATCGTTACCTATAAGTATTTGGATACTTTCTCCATCTCCTGAAAGCATAACAATGTTCCGAGTTACTACAGCTTGTAGTTCATCAGTTATAGAAAGCAACACTGCTTATCATGTTTGCGGCTGACCTTTCCCGTCTAAAACTTCGTAGTTAAAATTACAATGTAGAATGAAACTAGGAGTGATTCCTGTCTTCACCTTATAAAACCCAACGTTTCGTTTTTTTGAATGTCTGAGTAGCTTAAGATGAATACATATGACCGATTGTTTATCCTCTTATGGATGAACAGAATAAGGCTGATGGAGTTTGTTGGTAATGGTCTGTATTGCACTTCTATACAAATGTGAGAGGTAATCCTGGAATACTAATCTCAATCACCAGTTATTTGATCACCGTTTCACTCTGGGCAAATCTTTGAACTTTAAAAGAATAATAGATATCATAAATTCATAAGTTAAACCATAAATAGATCTCAACTCCATTCACAATTCGATCAAAAATGAGACGTTTAATAGGTTCTACCTGCATCCATAATCTAATACTTTGCAATGACTGTGTATATAGATAGTGAGTGCTGTCGTAACTGTTGATAATATGCGAAGGTAGTTAGACTTGAGACAGTAATATGGATGTTAAAACCCTTGGTTAATTAAATTGTTCTGTACTTATAATCATGAAAGTTTGAAATATTTATTTGTACATTGAAATTACTCATTATAGGTGAACGCGGGGAGTTGCGATTCTCCAATAAATTGTAATTCTTTGGATGCAAGTAATCTGCATAAACAGAATCATTTATCGGAACAACAAAAACAAGGACGTGAAAGAAATTCAAAAGACCATGATTTATACTGCAAAAAATCGCAGTGAGTAGTTTATACGTTAAGCATTTCTTTACTTTTGATAAAGTTTAAAAATTATAATAATAAAAGTGGGTAAATTGAAGGCATGACGAAAGTATTCCGAGTCAAAGTAAAATCCGGAGAATCTTCAAACTGAATGGCTGCAGGATATCAACTTGCTGAATAGATGTTTAGTAATGAAGAACTGGTCTTAAATATTTTCGAATTGTATACATTTATTCCATTTTCCTCATCAGTTAGCGAAATACGGAACTATGATGGAATATAGGAAGGCTTCGTTTCATTGGAACTTTAGGAATTGATTGAAGAGAATTTACTCTCTTCGGATGTACTGCCTTGTGCTACTAACCATAAATAAGCTAAGGCCATCAAAAATCCTGAAATAAGGTTCTCAAAAAATGTTACTTATTCTTCTGGATCCATTTTACATGAAGTTTATGAGGCACTCTAAGTTTACTTTCCCAAATACTGACTCATTTTGATGAGTTGAAAGTGCAAATAGGACATGGCTGTAGTGACTTTAGTGCCAAAGTGAAATTCAGTGTCAACGGAAATGACACTGTGAGTAAATTTTGTTGGACCATTTGGATAAGGATATGAATAATTTTTGTATGCGAATCAAAGTGTGTTTTTTCGTATCACTTTCCGGAACTGACAAAATAGATTCTAAAAATTCAGCTTTCGTCAAAGTTGCACTTTTCATCCTCTCTCATGCTGGTGCAACGGGAGAAAATCTGGAGGCATTGTGGGCTTTGACTAACAATCAAGTTTCTTCGCATATTATTGGACCTGATAATACGAACGATGGTGCTGAAGAGTAAGAGACATTTACTGAAAAGATTATGGCACTGGTTGAACTTAGAAGGTTGATTTAATACTTCTTAGCTAAAAAAAGCTTGTTGAAGTAGCACCGAACCTGATCGCGATCATTATTGCCCACTCAGGACCTCTTACGAATTCGGCTAAATTTCCAGCTATAACTATTCAGATATTAGGAACAGAAATGACAAATTACATCACGTTAAATCGCTCTCTGAAATTGTCGGAATATAATTTTTCACTGTGTGTGACTCAATAATGTTTGGCGAAATATACAGAAGAATGCAGTGGATAGTGTGAATTATAATAAAGTGGATTCGTCGACTCGTCTCCTACATCTAGACCAAAATCCCCAGGTTTCGGTCATTCCAGTTACTGCATTATCAAGAATATTACGCAATTTAAACTGATTTCATCGCATGCTTTGAAGATGTCCATATAATTTTTTAAAACATATTCAACCATAAGGGTGAAATGAAGATCAATGGTCATATTATTCAAATGACTAAGAAGCTGAAAAACTGTTGTTATTATTACTATTCCCTTGGCTTCTGAGTGGAACGTAGGACTTCAACAGCAGTAGTCTACTTCGCTCTACTTTGCCGACCCTCATTAGCTAGCTCCATGGTTGCTCGTAAGCTCTCATCTCCTCCAACGTCACTCAACAATCTCCTCAGTGGGTGTCGGATCCATCTCCATTTCTTTCCGCATATTTTTAAGCAATCAGTTCTAGGTTATTCGGTTACCAGAGTTCCTTGTTCCTAATCCTTTCTGGCCATCTGGTGATCAGAGTGTGCAGCGAAGGCAGCTATTGATAAAAGTCTGCAGCAGGCTGTTGAAAATGATTTTAATGAAGCATACGCAAAGTCTCTGAACCACATAGAAGGACTGACTGACTTGACATTACTGTTGGAAATCCGAATCTTATTCTTGTATCATCTAAGGACTGTCATGCAAGTAATAAATACGTCTAAGAGAATGCACCAAATAGCTGTTTCATCGATGTTGGTATCAGATAAAAAAATAATGCTGGAGAATGACATATCAAAAGAACACAAATTATTGCACTATAAATTGGAATGGTCATAGGCTGAATAAATTGGAAATCTTGTTCATTAGTAACACTAGACAGTTTTAAATTAAATCTCTGGAATATAATTAGTTTCTATAGGTAGTACTGACTGCAATCATGATTATGACAAGAAATAACTAAATAAAAATTTCATGCCTATTGTTATTACTACTGAAAATTGAATTTAACTGATTAAAAATGCCCATTAAAATTTTCAAAGGAATTGACACGGAACAAAGAGTACTCTTTTCGATAAATTCATCATCAGGCTCTACAATTATATATACATTATAATGAATGAATGAATTCGTCTTATGAACGACATCAATGTTTAAATAACATCAAATTAATAATATTGATAAATTACAGCTGAACAGCACCAAAATAAGCTGAATGTCAGGAGAATTAGGATAGGTAATAGTACAAATTCATGAGTTTATAGTCTCTACTGAGCGCCAGGGTAGTAGTAGGGGCTGGACTTGTTCCTTTTGAACACAGAGCACTGGTTGTTTGAGGTGAATTGCAATAGCCTCTGCTGTTTGGTGCAAGCGGTGCTTTGACGATTTTGGTAGTTTGTTAGGCACCCGGTATATTATAGAGAAGAATTCTCCTACGCTGGCTGGCTTTGTGACCGGTTTGCACCAGATAGTCTAATATCGAGCTGTTAATACTTTTAACTACACCTTTATTTAGCCACAGTGGGATATGCTCTCGAGCACGAAAAATCAAGTTCCTAGAGCAACGGCTAACATAACTCGCTCCACAAGCGCAGTTGAATTGATAAATACAGTTTGAAGTGGCTAGTCTAGGTACTTCATCTTTCAGTCGAGGTAGCACCATCGGTCGTGTAGAGAATAGTAATAATAATAATTGAATTTAAGTAAATTGCATTTCCTGTTTTCGTACTTTTGCATTTGTGTCTGCAAGGAGTTTAAAGTGGGGAGAGAGAGAATACGTAAACTTAGGGAAACTGAATGACTTATCATCTTCCACACTGCACTTACTTTGCCTTTTATCTTACTTACACTCAGAATAATAATGCAGTAGCTCTGAAGAGTACTAAGGCAATTATGAATTCTTTATTGTCCCACAAGATTATTCATTCAGGCAACATTAAATCTAATAAACAGTTAAATAATGAATAAAATGGCAGGGATTCATTTAGAAGGTTCTTTTGGTCTCTTGTCATTTCAGTAAAGTAAAATGGAGTTTGAAGGTAGTTTAAAGCACTTTTGCCTTAAGAAAGGATTGACGTCAGATACGTAGAGACGAACTATCATACAATAGTGTATCTCTAGGATATTATTGTATTTTTAGGCTTTCCTGGCTGAATGATGAAGCTTTCACACCACGCCAAAAAGAAACCCACAAAAGAACGCGATCTAGTGAAACTTCTTGCAGTTTAAAAAACACACAGAAGATTTGGCTTTTTATGTGTGATTTGTCAAACTCTTGTGAACTTATGTTCCTGTCACTCTGTCTGATAATTTCCATCTCAACTTAGTATACTAATTAATCATCGGCAGTACGCACCCACTGGGGTTCGAACCCAGGACCTTTCGGTTACTAGGCAAGCTCGTAAACCATTCAGCCACTGAGGCCAGATTCTATGGCTCATGAATTCTAACTTCTACCAATTCGTGGGTGCGTACTACCGGAATTGCATAGATAAAGCGATATTTACAGTTTACTTCCCGTGAAGTATAACTTACATACATCATGGAGTGAAAGCTCAGTCAAACTGTCCAGTTTGACACCCTAGAAAGTCTCTTCTTTCAAATGTGAGCAGTAACTGTTGTTCTCTTTATTTTTCCAAATTTTTTGTCAGATCACTTCGAAAAAATTTGTATCCAATCCGTTCAAAATCACCATGCCATCGACAATCAGATATATCTTCTGGATCGTTGGATAGATTAAGAAAACGATGTCGTTCAATAGAAAGGGAACTGAGTTCAGTTGAAAGGTGAGTTTCTTAGCGTATATAGTTGAATTATGAAACAAGTGGTAATATGTGAGTTGATATGTCACTGGTGTGGCAGTTATTTACACATTTACTAGGCACTGCTTCAGGTGCATTAATAAACATTCATCTAACCCTATCTTAATAAGTGATATTTACTGATAATGAAGTAAACTTGGAAGGTAGATTTTTGAAACAGTCAATCCCTGCCATTAAGACTCATTTATTTATGTAAACAGCTAGTAAAACTGTTTGAGTTTATAATGAAGTTATCAACAATTTCACGATTAAGAAGGACTTATCAATTCATATTTTTGACTCATGTATTAGTTTACCTCCTTTTGTTTGCTTAAGATTCGGTGAAACCAGTGGCAATCTATTGGACGCAGAATTATCTTGTCCAACTTTTAAGGTTTACTCTGCTCTGTCATGGTTGCTTTTAAATTCACCTTTTATTTCATAGAAGATTTTACTGATTAATTAAACACTGAAGGTGAAAGAATTCATTATTTATTCTTTTCCATCGTTTAAACTTTACTAAATGTGAATTAAAAATTAATTAATTAACTGGTTCTGGTAACTCGTAGTTTCGAAATCGAGTCTGTTCATAATACAGAAAAGTTTCCTCTTGAATTCATCGTTTGCTGTTCATCCTTTCAAAAAACGAAAATATCTTTAAAATTTGGTGATCTGCAGTAAAATCCCATAGTACTTCTTTTGTTGGCATATTGCAGTTGTTTGAAACGAACTCAAAGAATTGTTCCATTGATAACTAGGTTTATGATTATCATTTGACAAATCAATTCTAATTACAACAACAGTACTTTAGAATTGCACAAAGAACCCTAAGATTTCATCAAACAAAACATGACTTTATATTTGTAACTACATTTTCAAATTTGTGACTTGAAAACTGTTTGCCATTATGATAAGTGCCATTCTATGCCCTGTTCTATGATGAAGCGTAGCGTTGCTATTTGGCTCTTACGTGATTTGCTTTTCCTGAATTCCGCCTACTCTTGGTGGAGTTTCGCACCCGGAGCATCTTTTAGTCTTTCCAGGATAATACAGCCTAATATTTTGCTTGGAGTGGACAGGAGCATAATTTCGCTGCAGTTCTTGCAAAGGCTAAGGTCGCCTTTCATTGACAGTTCGACAAGGTAGCTATTCTTAAAATGCGCAAGTACCTTTCCTTCCTCATAAACTTTGTACAGTAGTGGCGTCAGCAGAAGCAACTATGTCTGATTCGGCTGCTAACGCGGCCGGCTCTCAGTAACTCTGCGGCATTCAAGACATCTACTTTTGTCATTGGATTAGTGTTCACTGACACTTCCTTGGCTGTTGGTGGTATTCTTGGACGAGCTGCGGGTGCAGGTTGGTTAGAGAGTTCTTTGAAGTGACTAGCCCATTGTTTCCCGTTCTATCGCCTTTTTTCTTTCCAGCTGTTCGATTTGTCTTCAGTAGTAACTGTCCTTAAATATTGTCTTTTTTTCTATCTGTCTGATTATTCAGGTTTCATAGAAGAGTATTCGAAACAGTTTTCAATTCTTCTTATACCTAGAGGATTTGGAAATCATACTGTGTTGAATATATCACTTATAATAGAGAACTTGTTCGAAAATCATTGAATTTAATATATATATATATATATATATATATATATATATATTGTTATTTTAATTTCAGAGAACAATTTGGACAGAGTTTAGGAAATCCACCGATAGGTGATCCAAGAGTTGATGCCTTAACATCAGCCAACAGGATATTGCGCCAAAGACTGCAAGATATACAGAAGTTACAGGAAAGTAGAGAGCATGCACTGAACAAAGCTCATACTATGGTTAATGGTTTATTAAACAAAGTAAGATTAAATAATAAATAATGTTTTATCATCATTATATTACATTATCTGGCGATTTTCGTTGCTGTTATTACTGATATATGCGTGTTTATACGTTAGACAGTGAACCACTTGTATTATATGATGACTACTAATCTTATTAGTCAACATTTGGTTCCAAGCTATGACATGCTGATAGGAAGTAGATTGCCTAAGCCAGTAAGGTGGAGCCTAACAACAGAACGACTGAATAACTATGAACTGATGGGAATTTCAAAGACGTGTATTCAAAGTATTTAAACATCTCATTTCCTTAAGATATCTCATTCTTATCATCTAAAACTGGTTGGAGCCTAAGAAGAGCAACAGCTTATTAGTTCCCTAGCGTATTCATTTGGGTCTTGAGAATTATAATCCTCAGTGAATAAATCAATGGACGCGCTAAACCATCTGAAATAGCTTTGTTCCACACTGTGATGCAGTACCATTTCGAACACAAATTGACAAATAATAATACATCAAATTTCAGGGGTTCAAATTCTACTATATTGTTTTGCACCAGAATTCATGTTACGTTTCTAGCTGTACGATTTATGTGATGTTATATCCAGAATTTTTATTTTACAGAATAATTTATACTACTTAATTAAATAAAGAGTAAGATGTATTTTATCACTGAATGATTTTGGTTAGAGAACCATTGAAAACCATAAAGCCCTAGACAGTTGTTTCTCCCTAGTTTGGGATTACTTAGTAGTGCGCACCCATGATCCAAACAGGGATCTAACCCGAGACCTTCACGAAATGAAGACTCCCCATTCAACCACTGAGCTGAGATTTAATGACCCATAAGTTCTAACGTTGGTTATTTCTCTGTCTAGCGTCACCAAAATCCAATACCATTGGTGAGTATAAGTCTTCACTCCTGACATCGCGTAAACTGCCTCATGAACAGCTTAAATTATCTTAAATATTTTGTAATTTTTAGACCTTTTTTCATTCTACAAAGCTGATCATTTAGTATTAGAATCAGAAACTTTTTTAATCAGCTTACTTCAACATTCTTGTATACAAAAATTGCTAACAATTCTTAACACTTCTGTTCCAATTTACACACAGCAACACAAACAAGCTTCGATAATACGTGAAGGCACACGGGATTATACACAGTCGCCACCTACCTCATATACAAATAATAACCATCATTACCATGAGAATAATGGTACGGACAGTGTTTACACTGCTAAAGCTTATAAACCATTGGAAGAAGATAATGTTTCGGATTTGCCTGCTTATACACCGACTAAGTTTGGTCGTCTTCCAGAGAATGTTGGATCAGACTATTATTATGGAAGAGAACATGAGCGAAAGTCTCGCAATGGCAGTGGTTATCGTAGTAATTTATTAAATCATCGGAAAAATTTGGATCCACGAGCTAATTCAACTCATATTCTATTGGAAAGATTACGTTCAGATTATGCAGACTTAGCAAATAGTGTCTATCGTATTGAAGAAAAAGCTCGAGATGCTGCTTCTTCTGTGCAGTCATTATTGAGACAGTTTCAAATGGGTTTTATGGATACTATTGTCACAAATCCCGTTAATCAGATGCCAAGTGCTGATATATGCGAGGTAAGATGGTTTTTCAACCAGTTGTAATGATGTATCTAAATTATTTGCTTTAATGGATAATAATTTTGGGTTGTGGCAGGTTTCGAACGAATCACCTGCGAATTACTAACCTGGCTTTCTGTCAGCTGGGCTACGACAAGTCATGAAAAAAGGATCCTGTTGCCACACCGGCTAATCAGCAGAAACGCATCACTTCCTTTCAGTCAATATATAGCGTAATATCTGAAAATGAATGAATTCAAGAAGTTAAAAAGAGTTTAAAATATTAAACATTTAAAAATGTAACATTTATTTTAGTTTATTTGAACTTTGATCAATATTCTATCTAACATTTCCGCCAAAATTGGAAACTAGTTTAAATTGGACATGTTGAATTTGTAGGAATCTTAGCGATAATAAAATAAGTAATTCCGAATTTTCCTTGACCTGGACGTCTTGAAATCAGTGATCGAATCAAAAATATGAGTGGTATATTTAATAGGTGGTAGTATGATACATTGAAACTCCTCCTCTAATCATATTTAAGTCGTGAATCACTTTCAAAACCAATAAATCGCGAACAATGGGTATGTGTCTATGTATCATCTCATAAATGCGTTGAGATAAATGGTCTGGAGATAGGGAAGTTGTATTATGGGAGTCAGAACTTTCTAAAATGAGCACATGAACTGAAATAAAATGAAATTTATCGTTGAAAAAGTGTATACCATTTGCCTGAAAAGTGTAATAAAATGGAACAACATTCATATGAGTTCAGTTTACAAAATCTTATGATATGCCAGTTAAAATATTAGTAAAAAATACAAGCGTGTCATCAGCCTTAACGGTCTCAAATACACTACTGGACATCATAAATAGACTCCTGAACCTTTGACGTAATATCCTCATAGCTTCGGTGTATCCTTCGTTTGGGGGCAGGAATTTACATCATTGAATTGCCTTTGCCACTATACCAGTGCAATATCTCAAAAAGTACATCAACTTCATATCATCATTAAGTCCGTAACCACTCAGCATAATTTCAGTTTCCTTCACAAAATGAGGATAATCTTCCGGGTTTCCGTCAAAACAACAAGGCTCAGACTTGGGCAACTTAAAGCACCTACTCTCCTTGATTAAGGCTACATGACCATCAACCCTATCAGTCATAACTTCAGACAAATTCGCACAAACATTAAGCACATCATCATCCCTTACTTTTTTGTCTGCTTCCACACTGCCCTGTCCTTTGCTTGACCCAGACATTATTGAACATTACCAAAATCAAACTTGAGTTCCAAAACACTTGTCCAAAGACTCAGATGACCAGCAACTGAATCCACTCCAAGAAGAAAGAACAACTCCTGAAGGGAGCCGATCAGGAACAACCAGAGGAGAAGATCAGAAACTGTCAAATATCCAGATTGCTGAGATCCTAGACCTATGGCTGGTTTCAGATGATTAAGCTTAGTACGCAGTACACTATGCTTTATAACCGACGCAGAACAACGAAAAACGGTTGGGCAACACGATTATTTATTCTTCAAGCGATAACGAAACAGATTTACAGTGGTTAATCAGTGCTAAAGTCTGTAAATAAACGTTAATATGATATACAAGAATACTTCTGATCGTATTTCTCCAATCTTCTGCCAACCAGTACACGATTTAGTAATGATAGCCTTCTTGTCACCCGCCAATGGAGACCAGTTCGAATAAACAAACTATTTAATGTTCACCCACATTGACAGCTGTTATTATTATTATTATCTCAACAAAACATGTGTAGCCGTTAATGACAAAGGTACTCAGAGTAATTATTAGACGGGGATATTATTGATACGAAGCAATTTTAACCCACAAGTTAGACATGCACATCTTAAACAGTACAGACTCACTCATTACAATTTTCATGTGCTCATGATCTTTACTCTCATGGGTTTATTAATGGGTGACAAATAAATAATTACACACATTGTTTACAACTAACAATAAACGGTTTATTCATAATGTAGACTTAATTAAGTTCAAATGTGATTGTTCACTTCTAATCTGTTCATTTCGCTGAAACTACTTCGACGATTTTACTGAACTAAAATGTTGAAAATACTTACTTCCATAGCTCTGAGAATTTTACAGACATAACTTTTAGTGACTATTTACTTCAGTTCTTGAAAAAATCGTCAATAAATCATGAATACGTACGACTGGATAATATTTCACCGGTTGTCATCATGACACTGTTTTCATCCCTATCTGGACATAGGGAAATCTAATGTTCATGTTCAATAAACAGCTGTTGTATTTGCTGTCCTAAAAATACACTACACTTTTCCTGTTAAGAGAGTAGAAAAGGAAGTGGTAGTGTAACAGCAGAAGGGAAGACACGGAAGTAAAGGGTATATTTTCAATTGATGAAGCCGCTATTTATATACACAATTTATGTACTTGATCCGATCACTGTGCGTTTTATTTTTGTTTACATTAAACGACATGAAATAGAATGTTCAAATATATGTATAGTATTTTGTTGCTAACCTGTGGGAATAGTATTCAGACGTTAACATCAACAAATGCGATAATTCTTACTGTGAGAATACTCATTTGGAATACTTTGTCTGTATCACACCACCACAGTAGGGCACAGACAGACGAGAAAAACCCTGTAGTTAAATGTAGTGCCTAAATACAAAACAAATTCCTATTATTTCAGTAAGCAGACTTTCCACTGATTAATCTGATGCACACTAGTGACTGGCTTTATTCAGGTAGGTAGTTTCCTGGATTCTAGTGAGAAGTCGTGATCAGTGGGGTACATCAGATCGAGTGTGAGGACAAATACTCGCCAATGACATTGACTAGTGGTCGCACTATATCTTGGATTGTCAGAAATTGGAATTGATGGGCCATAGGATCTGGTCGAAGTGGCTTAATGGTCTATGATCTCGCCTTATAACTGGAGGGTCCTGGGCTCGAAACCGGGTGGGTGCGTGCAGTGAAAAGTCCCAAACCAGCTGTCCAGTACTCCACGGCTGGTTTTCCAATGGTTCTCTAACTGATGTCAGTTCATGATGCATCCCTGGATTTAAGAAACTTTTAATACATTTTTAGGTTTTAGTTCAGTTGTTTGGTCAGTACTGTTTTGAATATTTACCAATTAATTCAGTAAACTTTGGCTATAGATTTTCCAGTGAGGCACCAAATTGTGTCTGTTGTCTACTATTACTCAGTATATCGATCTTTACCGATTTCTAACTTTGTTTCACAGTGTATCTAATAAACAGAAGTTTACAATTCTTAGATTTATCTCGATTACAAGCCAGTTATGAATACAATTTTTAGACAACCTGTCACGTGTTTATTCTGCAGTGTTTAATCGTGTAATGATACTTAGCTTAAAAAATATAAAATATCTCCGTCTGTTCTCCGTTCTTTAATTTATCATGAAAGCCTTTATTATTCATTTACAACTGTTGGTATAAAATAGATGTTTAACTTTAACTTCTTTATGCGCTTACTTTTAAGCGACATGTTCCAGTGACCTTTGTCAACACGAATGACAGTCTACTGATTAAAATTGTACATTCTTTCTTCTACTTCCCGATCGAAAGCTGCTACTTTGATTTGGTAATCGAAAGTTACACATACCAATATCCCAGTGAGATAAACGGGATAAAGACGAATGTTCCCACAGGTCCTAGCATGCCAGAAAGTTCACATAAATAGTGGTTAGACTAAAAGCAGTTGACATCATAGGGTAAGTCATTTACACTACGTTGGGGATAAAGTCGGACTGTTGGCAGAAAGGAGTGTAATGACGGTAAGGTATTTCCATTGAATGACTAAGAAGACAGCTATGCTAACTCCTAGTTTTGGGGGGATGTGAGCTTGTAAACTTCGGTCTTATAAACAATACATTCCAGCTGGCTCTGTGATGACCATTAGCCGAAGGTAAGGTCTTCATACGGCCACAACATCAGAAACCACTCTAAACGGTGTGCGTGTGACTGGTCTCAAGCAGTTGTCCCCTTAGCTGTGCAGTCACATAGTACTTAAGCTATTTCTGTTTCTTGTATTTCAGTAAAAATTAAGTTCAATTTCCGAATATTGTAGCTTTTAAGACACTATTTAAATTTTAACCGTTATTCTACAATGTTAGTTAGTGATGAAAATTGACAAAATATACAAGAAATGTTTGGTTGATGAGTTAAGTGAACAATAAATGCGAAACACATGACAAGTCTTGAGATTTGGGATAATTTAGAAATCCATTGACAAACACCTGAGAAGCAGTTAATATTAGGTGGTTGGAGGCAATCGGCAGAAAGCCTTGGACCTAGGTTTCGTGCTAGTTGGCACTCGTCAGCAAGGCGTATCTGCAACCTTGACTGATAGAATTCAGTCTGCACCAAAGAGAGGACTAGACGCATCACACTAGTTACTAGTGTCAAATCAAAAGCAGTTAATATTCCCAAGCAAAGTGAACTTTCTAGTGCACTTTTAAACAAAGGGTTCTGTCTCATAAAACTGAGCATTTCAAATATATTTTGTGGTGGAAATACTGATTCCTTGCATACATCCTGAGTACTTTAGTTTTGAAATTGACCGAACGGCTAGCTAGTCAATAGTCATCATTTTATAGAAGTTATATCACAAAAAACTAGTTTGGCTGTAGCATGAACAATCACTATGAACTGCTGTACTTCTGGACAACGTTTTGTTATCTTATAAGTTAAATAAACCGTCAAATAGGGATTTTATAAAGTTTAGATTCTATTCGATTGATCTGATGTGTCTGTATGAGACTTTTGATTTTTTTTTAGTAAAGTAATGATTAAAATTGATACAAAACTTTAGACTTCAGAGGAATTTGAATTAGTCACCTCTGTTTGAATCGTTCCACGACGCATGTTGTCATTTTCCAACTTCAACAAACATTCATTTATATCAGTGTTGCTAACTCAGTTAGTCTTATCAACTGTTCTGTTTGTTTCCTTTATCTGTTGACAGTGTACCTGTTTAAATATTTATTGTTAGCAACTCATTAAAATGTCTTTTCTTTATTTTCGCATTTTGTTAACTTACATTTTCCAGCCTTTCGACAGAGTACCAAATACCAATGAGCTATTTGATAAGTCTGTTACATTAAGATTACAAAAAGCCAGGTATGTCAGTCACTTCTACTTTATGTATTTCTCCTGAGTACAATTAATATTAACTCTGACTTATTTAAAATAAATTAGTACTGCTTTTCAATACCTATTTATGTGTAGTATACCACTTTAATTAATCTTAGAATAATCTGAGAAATTAAAATCTTCCACTGTTTTACCGCTTTACTTGTAAGGTAAGTTGATGGAGATATCAGATACATTGAACTCTGAAATTTAGCTTTGTATAAATCATAATCCATAAGACTGAATATAAATCATGCATTCTATCAACAAGTCCATATATATGAGTTGTTATAAACGCTTATAAGTTTGAAAAAAAATAAACCTTTAATTCCAGTTTAAAGAAAGGATGATCAGTATTCGATTTAAAAAAGGATCCATATGACTGATTAACTCAGTAACTTTATAGTTCAGTTATTTATATACTGAGTATAATATGGTGTATATACGAAATTAAAAGTGACAAATGTAACTGTTCGACAGCTGTTGTACCCTTTATTCTCTGTTTGGTGATTTTAGGCATGGCAAGTGGAACTAGTGCACATCTGTTCAAAGTTTTACACTGATTCACTAAATGAGTTACGGTCAAGGAGTTAGTTCACAAAGCTCACCAATTTCACTGTTTTTGTACAGATAATTATTAGATTTGATAGTGTGGAATATTCCCATATTATGAATTAAAAGTCAATCTGAACGAAGAATATTCTTTTCAATAATTTCTCTTCAGGTTCTTACAATTATACAATATAATATTTGTTGTCGTTAAAAGAAAGGCCAGTTATGCGGCTATCCTTCAGTAGCCGTCCAATGTTCACCCAGCAACTCAAAGATGTCTTACCTAACCTTAGCTCTTCTTCATGTATATACCATTTCAACTGTTCCTGAGGTTCAAGTTATGTAGGGCGCACGATTAGGCAGGTTCGTCTACGGGTTCGAGAACATTTACCAGCTTGGTTCAGCAGGGGGGAAATTAAGTACATAAAAAGCTCGATCCTGTCACACTTGGTCGATACTAGACATCATATCGATGTCAACACAGCTTTCGGGGTTATATACCGAATTCTGAAGTCGTTATCACGCACAGTTCGCTTACGTCTCCTACACATAGCTGAAGCTGTTGCAATAAGATCGACTAAACCGGAACTTTGGATCCAAAAAGAACACGTCCAGACGCTGTTCCTACCGTGGCCAAATTTGAACTGATGATTCTTCTTCTCACCAAGAGTGCTCCTTTGCTTATTATTACAAATATTATTATTATTAATATTATTATTATTCGTCATAATTTATGGCCTTCATGCAAACATTCTTTCAATACTATCGAATTTTTCATTAATAGTATCCGGACTTATTATTAGTGATATTATCTCTTTTCTCGATGTATGCCTCCACCTGTTTCATTTCACATATTCGTTATTTCATTATGAACTTTTCATTTCAGTCTTACTATCTCCTGTTTAACACAGACCACTTTGTACTAGCCACTCACCTGACACCTTTTATAACCTTGAACTGACTTGTCAATTTTCCTACCCCACACTCTACAAATCTATTACTGATTAATCACCACCATTGTCTCCCGTTTTACAATATTTTGTAATCGATTTCAGCCTAGCACGTTTGTCACACAAATACGACTATTTATTTTGACAACCCATAACTAATCTGTTATTTTACTTTAAAAAATAGTATCCACCGCATAACTGGCCTTTCTTTTAACGACAACAAATATTATATTTTATAATTGTAAGAACCTGAAGAGAAATTATTGAAAAGAATATTCTTCGTTCAGATTGACTTTTAAGATAATTATTAGTTAGTTTAATGTTGTTACTGGATACATGTTGACTGACATTTTGTTAAATTACCACCATCTTAATCAGCCTAGATGAAGCATGAATTGATGACAGTTTTCACTTATATGAAATAAATGACCATTATAACATACTTTTTATTTCACTTGTAATTGTAAGCCACTCAAAAACAACTACATTCATCAAATATAGTCTCTGCTTCAAAATAAAATTGCTTGTGTCTTTTGGTTCGCTATCGGCCGAAACATGTCAACTGACAATGATGCGTAGTGAAGAAGTTAATTGATACGACAAAGCAGCATGGAACTCTATACTGATTATAAGACACCAAACAGCAAAGATGACTGCAATTTAGTTTCCAACCTTCTCATTAACTACTCAGTCGAATATATACAGGCTGAAAAAAAATGATGTTTCTTCAGAGACCTTTATATGTATTCGGAAACTTTATGGTTCTTTCTGAGATTGTGATTCCCATCTGGAAGCCAATATTTATTGAGTAAATAGTGAAAAAACTGGCTCCTAAATAGCCTCTTCATTTTACCTAAAGAACCAATCTGTTTCACAAACTCATAATCTGACTACTGAATGGAGACAGATAAGATTTTGAAAAAATTGACCACATCTTTAGCGTTAGCAATTTTATATTAAACCCGTTTGTGATGTGTAGAAACCAACCATCATTAAACATCTTATGTAATCCCATAGAACCTCAGCTATTGTGGTAAATTAGAACAGTAACGGTCTAATTTAAAGCCTAAATTGTACTGTGTAATATCCTTTAAAGATACATTTAACTGGAAGTCATGATAATATTCTCTAATTCTGTTTTATAGAGATACACTGGATCAGTTGAAATCTGATCAAGTCCGATCTTCGTTAAGTCATTATCGTCAATCAGATTTTACTATCCCATCAACCGCCACAGGAATAGTAGGTGGAACAACAACATCGGTAACTAGCAAAACAAATCCAATGATGACTTCGTCATTAGCAACAAGTTCTGGTATGAAATCGTCTACGTCGAATATTCACAATGAAGATGAACCGTATGCAAAATACTACAGTCAGTATAACCGTCCACATACTAATTCCTTGAGATCTACATGGCACATAAGTTGAGGTAAGATTCTAAATCATTTACGATAACATTTTGTCCTAGTCTGAAAGTAAATATCCCTAGTAATGTGTTTATAAGTGTGCTTTTGTCCTAAGTTCTGGGTTCATCAAATGAAATGCTTGATTGCTCACACTAATACATTTTGATAGTGTAAATAAATAAATTGTTATTCAAGTGTTGGTTTGTAGGGATTTGATTGTTTACAGGATTTTCATCATGAGGTGACATCAGTTAGAGAACCACTGAAAAACCTGGGAATACTGGACAGCTATTTCGTCCTAGTTTAGGACTCTCCATCAGTACGCACCCACCGCCAGGGTTCGAACCCAGGACCTTCTGGTTACAAGGTGAGCTCGTAGACCACTAAGCCACTGGGAGCCGATCCAATGGCCCATGAATCCCAACTTCTGCCAATTCACGACACAGAGCGACCACTAGCCAATGTCATTGGCGAGTATTTGTTCTCACACACACCTGAAGAGTCCCAAACTAGGACGAAACAACTGTCCACTACTCCCTGGTTTGTTTTCCAATGTTTCTTTAACCACTGTCAGCTCATGATGAAATATGATATACTTTTTTTCAAATAACCGCTATCCTTTATTTATATTCAATTTCTTTTATCACTAAATAGATGTCGATGACTCGTCTCCACACAATCGTTTATAAACGAAACCTTGGAATATCAAAAGAATAATTCCCTGTTTTACAGTTGGAAGTAAAAGCCTTATAAATCACATTTTTCATTCAGGTATTATAAAAATCACCATGGAATCTGACTTTCTTTTTTTTTCAATGTGTTCTTTGATATTTTCATTTTTATGCATTGTGAACAATTAACTATTTAAATATTTTTTAGAATATTTAATAAAAAGACAAAGCCTTTCTGTGTTGTTGTTGTTTTTCTGTTTTGTTTTGTTTTTAATTTCCTTTCTTTGAGAAGTGTGTTTGTCAGTCGGTTGATTTGTATTCATTTTGTCGTTTTATTTTTCAAGTATAACTTTCTTATATGTTTGTGTTTCGTATATTCTTAGCCTTTAGATTAGATATAATCATGCTATCCTTTGTGTAGTAGGATATTTTGAATGTTTATACAAACTGGTTACAGAGTAACTATTTATATATTAACCAGAAGTGTCATACACTAATTTCTATATATTACCGCACATATACACAGATTAGTTGAGGTTAAATTACATTTTATACTTTGGTTTCTAGAGGTTTTTTTATAATTTCTTTCTTTCACTACCCATTACATTATCGCTTATTCGGCTACAGTGTTCATTGTGAGATATTCCCACTTCTTTTCAAAATGCGTTGTTTGAGAATCGAATAAATTTGTTTTAATATTATTGTGCCTTTTGAGTAGAATCTTGCGATACTTCAACAGAACAATTAGAATTAGTAAATTCATAGTAATTATAATAATATTTCTTATATTATTATTCTCTTAAGTTTCAAGTGGAGCGTAGAGGTTCAACGACTCATCTCCTTTTCACTCTTTCCTCTGATTCCACGATTTCCCATAAGTTTTCTTCACTTTCATGTTACTTCTGGATGGCCAACTCGTTATTTCCCATTATGGTTCCAACTGACCGCCTGGCGCACAGTGTCACTCAATGGTTTCCTTAGCGTGTATCCAGCACATCTACATTTCTTCCTGAATATTTGTTAGACGATAGGTTCTTGGTTGGTTAGTTACCGGAGTCGCTTGATGCTAATCCCTTCTGGCCATCTAGTTTTTAGTATCTAGCCAACGAAGTCAGCAGTTGATAAGAGTTTTCAGTAGCCTGTTGTAAATCATTTTGGTGACGCGTGCGCCAAGTCTTTGAACCATACCGAGGGACTGACTGACTTGATATCAGTGTTGCAAAATCTGAATCTTGTTCCTTATGCTGAGTGCAGCAGATTTTCACACCGATTTCACAATAATGCACGCCTAGCTTGCTTTTCTTATCCCCATCTGTGCTGGTTGTAGTTGAGACGATGCTGTCTAGATAAATGAAGGAGGCCACTTTCTCCAAATTTTCAAGTCGATGGTGATTTATAATTGTTCCTTTTGGTTGTGTGTCTTCTGAATTTTTGGTTGTCGTTTATAGGTCCTCGAGTATGAGTCACATAAGACATGAATCCTGCGCGAAGTTCGAGTTTTCCAGTGTCTTTTCATTGGTCCGACGTGTCTCCCCACTCCCCACGATCTGCTGCCTGATCCAGTCCACCACAGTTAGGGACATCACCAGTGGTAGCAGACAGTCTTGTCTTACTTATGTCTTCACTTCGAAGGCTTCGCTGAGATTGCCTTTTTGAGTCTCTTGGTATGTGGTTTTGTCATAAAGCCGTAGAATTAGGTTGATAAAAGTTTGAGGCACTCGGTAGTGTCGGAGAAGTTGCCAAGTTTCCCAACAGGTAATTCTATCGAAGAGCTTTAAAAAATTGATGGGGATGAAGTAAACAGTTGACCACCATCCCAGGTTCTGCTTCGTGGATGCAAAGCGTAGCACTTTTGCCCGACCATGATTCATCTTTTCCGAATCCAACACGTTTCTGGTGCAATTTGCCATCCAGGGCATTTACAAACCCCTTCAAGATGATGAGGCATAATATTTTGCGTTCAACTGAAGGATTGATGATCCCACACCAGTTCTTGCTTAGAATTAAGTCACCTTTCTTTAGCAGTTTGAAAAGGTAGTTATACTTACAATGCTCAAGTACCTTTCCTTCGTTACAAACTTTCTGCAATAGTGGCGTTGGCATATACGCTCAGTTCTATGGATCCGTTCGCACAGCTACAGGAGGAACTCTGTCTGATTTGACTACCGACGCAGCTGGCTATTAGTAACTCTGTAGCATTCAAGACTTATGCTTTTGTCGGTGGGTTAGTGTTCACTGTCACTTCTTTGGCTGTTGCTGGTATTTTTCGACGAGCAGCAGGTTGAGGTTAGCTCGAGAGTTCTTTGAAGTGAGTGGCCTATTGATTTTTTTTCTTCGCTGTGCTAATCAGCTCTCCTTCGCTATCTTTCATTAATTTCATCTCTATTGAACTCTTCCTGGATAGGGACACAGTCGACGAGACTGTGAAATTATATCGACTGAGATGGTTAGGACATGTGTTACGTATGCCTAGTCATCGCCTTCCTCGACGGGCAATGTTAGCTGACATAGGACAGATCAGGCTGAAAAAGAGCTAGCGGCGGTCAAACCAAAACATGGCACCTGTCAATGAAATCTACAAAAGTCAGTCTAAGCCACGCAGCAAGGTGTAGACTTCCAGGTTAGGGTCTTTGGGACGGTAAATCCAGTGACTGTAGACAATTGATGATATGGCTCAAAATCGTTCTCAATGGCTGGCGCAGATGCATCCACTCCTTGTCACTTATGATTTCCAATTAAACTGTTTTGTTCTTTGTTATTACTATTCCTTTGTCTCAGACCTCTGTTTACTGTCTCTAATATGCATTTCTCCTACTTTTTTCTTTTGCTTTGTGTGCTACATGGAGTGTGGCGACTTGAACTGGCGCACATATGTGCGAAGTTCTATGTCGAAAACCAACCGACCGACATAATTGTTTTGGTGAAGCGTTCTTAGATCCTTCTTATCTGCAACCTGTTCTGATTCAGTTTCCATTGTGTCGTAGAGCCATCTTTTTCTCCTTCATATCACTCTTCTTCACTTTTTATTCAGTACATTGTACACTGAACTTGGGTCCTCTTTTTGTTGTTCATCTTCTCACAGGCTCATCTTCTGTTTCACTATCCCCATCTCTGCTCTATTAGCCTCCACGTATTTGTAGAGAGCCATTGGTTTTCTCGCCTCTTCTTTCGTCCTAAAACGGCTAAACTGATTTACTTCAAGATCACTTTCAAAGTGTCCCAGCAATTTTATACACAGGTTTTATTGGTGATACTACATAATGCCTCCAAATTTGCTTTGGTGGCTGCAGTGAATGTGTTTTTTGCGGTTTCGTCTTTGAATTTCTGAGTGTTGAACTTGAGTCGTTGTCTGTCTGCTGCTTTTTTCAAGTCTCTCCATTTAACATTGAAGGTTCCTTGCAACGGGTGATAGTTTTAGTTCACATCTGCTTCTTTTCCTGATTTCGTCTCTAGCAGACTGCATTTCCACTTTCTCAAGATCGATATGAAGTCAGTCTGATTTCTGTTCTGTCCTTCTGGTGAAATCCATGTCTGTTTCTATATATCTCTGCGCTTGTACACACTGCCTCTAAGCACTAAAATTATTGAAGGCGCAGAAGATTGCGTTTTTTATTCATTTCTCCAAAGAATCTCCCTGGACATGTTGAGCTCCCCTCTTATATTGTCTGCTCTCAGTTTAGCATTCGTATCACTTATTAGCATTTTGATATCTCCATTTAATGCCTTATATATATATATATATATATATATATATATACGTGAAAATGTATGAGTAGTAAATAAACCATGACAAATCATTTGTAACAGAAGATGAAAATTTCTCATAGGTCAAGTTCAAGTAGATAAAGTGGGGTGAAGATGTACGATAGATTTTAAAATGAAGACTGTAATGATATCTTAACGTAATTATAAGTATTCTGAAAAGATTGATCGACATAATGTCATATTTATGAATAATAATTACATTTTCAATTGTTTTAAAATCATTGATATAAGTATAAAACTTAGGCACTGTGATAAAGTATAAAGCCATCACAGATAAGATTTTATTTTGATAAATCACACAGTCTTATACAATAATATTGGCTGATGACGTTTCGAGCACAAATTATTGCTCATAATCATATCAAGTCGATAAAGTCTTATCTATAGTGTTTTAAAATCAATTACAAATATTATGTAACCTAGGTGCCTATTACTCTCTTTTTTTCTCAACCGATTTTTAAAGCATATGCATTCTTGTTTCACATCTAACTGTATACTTATCTATTACGCAATTATGAACTTTTGGTAACACCTAACTGTATGTTAGTCATTATTCACTGAACATCATATATACAGATTTTAATAGTGGTTTTGTCAACCAATCAATAATAGTATTACCAGTCATTACCTTTACACCCCCTTACACCTCTTTCCGCAATAGTTGTCCTAAGAGCTTTTACATTTTACAGCTTTGAGTGGTCATCTATATATATAAATGAGTCATTTGGATTCTATTTTGAATTAGTGTTGCAGAAAAATAAAACCAGATACGTGATCACTCATAAGTGAACATTGAATTTTAATGCATAAAACAAATACAATTGAGGTTAAACATCCGATTAAATTATTGACAAATTTATCACCTGACTTTTCAATAACCCGAAAATGTAGAATTAAGCAATCAAAAAACCATAATAATAAATCAGTACAGTCAAAACATCAGTATACATTAACTACTGGAAGAAAATGTGGATGTATACAAAGAGATTTGGAGTACAACGATTTTTTAAAACTGGATAATCAACGTCAGACATCAATACCGTATAATATGCCATATAGTCAGCCTATACATGAGAATGTGCCTGATATACTGGTGCCTGTTACCAGTCTCAGTAATAATTGTCAATCGTGTGCGGTATTATATGATGAAGTCAACGTATACACTAAACATAATGGTTCTTACTTTCGAATAGATGAACAGTTAGTGAATAAAACAAATCTACCTTATCCAGAACAATTTTATAAAAAGTATCATTCTCTACAGAATTTAGTGACTTCAAACAAACAGAATAATTCCACAGAACAGCATATACCTTTATATGGATATAGCCAGTCGTCATTGGCTGCGCTTCATTTACGTTTGAATACTGATGGTTTAAAACAGTTTTATCAGTCGAATTCAACACATGTAGTAGTTTGTGAGTATCCAGTTAACTTATACATTAGATACATGGGTAAATATACAATACCAACTATTGATTTAATTCAGATAGATGATTTTTGGAATCATATTGGCTGGGGTTATTTAGTTGCTGTTGCAAACAGAAATCCAGAAGTACCTAGTTCATTTGATTCAGTTGCTTTAATATTATGTCAACCGATCACATTTAAACAAATATGGAAAGGTTATGCTTTATTACCGAATAAAATCAGAAATTCGTATATATCCACAACATGCGGGCTAAATTCTAATATTATTGAACATCATGTAAGACAAATTCACAAAAGTTTTACTGATACATTAAATTACAGTCATTGTATTCTAATGGAATTGAGAGATTCTAGTGAAACAATGCAGTCGAAACAGCAAAATGTTAAATTTTCCTCCACTTTGAAGACATTTTTCACGAAATGCAAAGCAAATCTTATAAAATCGTCTAAACGAGATAGCTTAAATGGGAGGCAGAGTTCTACCCGGCAAAATAACACTGGGAAGAACATAGTTTCTGAATATTGTGTATGTAAAATTGAGTCAATGAAATCCGGTAGAGATCGTGAAATTTACACGCAGTCAGTAGAATTTTTTTCACAACTTGATGAGTTAATCGGTAATGCAGTTGTAAGTTTCTATAAAATTGTCACTTCTGTATCATAACTGTTTCTTCTTAAGTTTGTACAATTTCTATTAATTAGTCTGCTGAAATCATACTTAGGTAATTGACTAACTTTGTGAAATTTCAAGTTTAAAGTATAAAACTTGGGCTCTGCGGTAGAGTACATATATATAAATGAAGAAAAAAAGTTGTGTGAGTAACTTGATATGATTATGAGCAATAGTTTGTGCTCAAAACGTCATCAGTTAATATTACTGTATAAGAAGACTGTGTGATTTATCAAAATAAAATCTTATCCGTAATGGAGTTCAAGTATAAAGGTCAACAGAATACTGATTTGCAAAACTTCCAGTCATTTCATAACAAATCATTTCATTCAAGAAGGCTTGGGAGGCTGATTTAATTCGAGAATATATATGTAATCTACCTCGCTGCACCTTTAACGAACCTGACATCAAATCTGGAAAAACCTTGTTAAATATTACAGTTATTATTATTGTTTAATTGTAAATACCTTTCAAAAGAATGATTACTTCAAACCAATTTCGAATTCTTTGAATTTTGAATGGAACTTAGGATTTGAAGCTTGAACACTGAAATGATTTGTTAAAAGGGGATAGCGTTGATAGCCTCATGCCCAAATTTCTCTTTTTGCCGGCCTTACTAATGGCTAAGCATGGTTTAGAAGTGTATCCGTCGGGAATCGAATCCGGACCGTCTGTATGGTTGGCTAATACTCTACTAATGAACCCCTGGAACACACTTCAAATTAATATATAACATGATATTTTCTGTGATGATGAAGTTACTAAATTTTATCTATAAAGAATTTCAGTTAGACGCTGATTCAGAGAAGTCTTGGTTTCTCAACCATATCTACAAAATACTTATAAACCATGATACTCTTAGTATTCTGCAAGACTGCTAAAAATTATTGTAGCTATTGTTTAATAAGCTACTCAACTTATGACCCTTGGGGTACTTCACCTGTACATGAAGTATGCAGAAATAAGACATCACATTATTAATGATGGATCCTTCAAAGTTCAGTAGACAGGTTTTGTTAAAAATCCTGTTATTCTTGACAGTTTTGTAGTTGTATTTCAGGCTTATGTGAGCGTAAATCATCATATTTGATTTTGAATGAGTCTTCTTACAGTTCGAAGATTTTTTCCACATTGTTCTTTGGACTGTTGGAACCAGTCTTGACTGGTTGACTTCTCATCCTTATTTTTTAAAACTGTTGGCACACCGGTTATGACTCTCGCCGATCATGCACATGGCCTGGGGTTCGATCCCCTGCTGACGCACACCTGATATCTATGGTCGGCCTGCAAAATTTGGGCTACCGATATCAAATGCTGAAAACTCCATACCTGTACCGAAAAATACGGTTTCGAATAAAGCTGTAATCAAAAATATAAAAAATGTTCTATTTTCTCTACTTATGATTAGTTGCTATATGTTCGTATTTTGCAATTTTCAATTAATCTTGTTTGGTTTCTTATGAAAGAGTTAACATATGAATTCTGGTTTAATTTCCCCCAGTAGGTTTGATTCCATCGTGCTTCAAGAAGTCTGTCCTTGGACAAATCTTCAACATTTTTCTTGCTGTCATCCCTTGTTTTTAGCTTTACCTCATTTTCATGAATTTATGTTTTTGAAAATCTAGTTTTCTGAAACCTCCCATCATTCATTGACCTTTGAACTTACATTTGCATGCCTGTATGTCAAAATGGAAGCCTGACATTAAAGAAAGTAGAAGTAAGCATCTGGGGAATTAAATAAACATATTTTAGCAACAGTTCTTGGAAATTATTCATCACGAAGTATTATGATTAGATGTGCTTATAAGCAGGCATAATCTAGAACCTTCAAGAAATCTATCGCCTTCATAATCAGTTCTTTGTTTCACTCTCTGTCTGAATCAGATTGAAAGTAAAACAAAGGAAAAATAATATTTTTGCAGCAACTCTTTCCATTCAACTGAGAATTTCACTCAGATTATAAACTTGCATTTCTGTAATGGAATCATTGTCCCTTGAATAATCTGACCACATGTGTACAGACATCAAGACAGTAACATACTGGGTACGGGTTTTTTTAGTGACAAATAGACAGATGACATATGAAATGTCTATTCATTTACAAAAATAAAAACATAATTCGATAAATTGTTGTACTTGTTCTGTTAAGAATGGATTCAGTACCAAATAATGAAATAAGTTAACAGTTGGATCTGATAGCTCATCTGGTAGTAACCCATTGATTCAAATCTTGTCACGACTAAAATTCTCACTTCGCCTTCACTTTTCACTCACTTTATAAACAGTGGTCAGTTTCAGAGTCTACCATATTGTTTGACTGCAGACAGATAATGATTTTGGTAGGTCGGCACTGCTTTACTTGATATGTTTTACTTAAATGATGATATTTGATAGAATTTTAGTTTAAACGGTGATTTGATCAACCAAATGCTTCTAGGTAAGCCAGTATACTCTAGAGAGAAAATAATATCTTATTTAAACTAAATTACATAGACATTTCTAAAGTGTTATAGTGCACAGCTAATTTCAAATGAAGAGAATTATCAGAGAGATATTAGAAGCTTTTTGATAGAAAATACATACTGAGTAGGAGAGCGTTAAGGTTTTTGTAATTTTGCAATAAAGTTATCAAAACTGATTGTACAGGCACAAAACGAAGCAGATGTTCGAAACTTATTCCACTCTTGTTTTACTTTTCCTCTTTTTACCGCCTACTTCAAGGATTTTAGAACAACCATGAGATATCCATACAAAAAGCCAATAGTTTAGGCGAAACTAATTAAATTGGTTTTATAGATAGACAAGTGGAATGATAAAATTTTCCGATGACAAACAGAAACCAGATGCCTTTCAGCTTAATCTAATTTCTCTGGTGTTTAAAGTGATGAAATTTTCCCTCTGAACACTTTGATCCACATATTCTTATCCTAAAGATGGGTCTCAAATAGGGTGAAATAAACGTCTTGAACCTGAACACTAGTAAGTATCCAAACTGTCTATGCTGACTTTGTTTAACACAATCAAGCTTTAAGTGCAAGATACAGATTAAAAGTAGTTCTGATGAAACCTTTATTTTGTCAACTATTCTATAAGCTTTCTACCAAGTAAGTTGAAAAAAATCCTAATAGAAACTGATAGTTGATTGACTTGATATGATTATGAGCAATAGTTTGTGCTCGAAACGTCATCAGTTAATATTACTGTATAAGAAGACTGTGTGATTTATCAAAATAAAATGTTATCCATAATGGAGTTATACTCTACCACAGTGTCTACGTTTTTATTCTTATATCAATTAGATCTACAATCTGAAAACAGCAGTAATGATACATGCAAGTATATATATGTGTCATGTATATCCGTTGCTTTTTTTTTGTTTACAGGCATTTCGTTTTCAACCAGAATCAGTGAAGAAGAAAGAAATTGTAGAGTATAAAACTTCCACAATGTTACAACAAAATCCAAAGCTTAAAAGGCTTTATAGTTTATCAACATCATCTTTATTCATCAATAAAAATCAAATATCATTACCTTCTCTATTTAGACATGTATATTCAATCAGTAGGGATGATTTAAATACTATACGAACAGTTTACGGTTTTCAAGTATAGTCTATATGTAACTTTGCTTCTGCTTCTTTGTAATTATGATCATGATTATTATTTCAATTTGTTTGTATAAGATCTTTCTCTATTTGATACAATATTTGATATGTTTATTCTACTAATTGGTCTTCTCAGTTTCCAGTAAAAATCGAAACCTATGGATATTAGATTACATAACAATTGATTTGTCTCTTATACAGTGATATTTTTATTTCTTCCCCATAGACCAAGTGACACCTGACTTTATAGTGGACATATCAGCTAATGCGAATTTATTTAACCCATATGGTATAAGCTTCCTTTCCTACCGAAATAGACACCTTCCAATTTGTACATCTTTGACGGATACCGAAGTTCTATATCCACTTTATCCCCAGAGCTTTGGATGCTGTTTCCGTTGAAATATCTGTCTAAGAGACTACTACAGGATAAACCGGTTCTGGATTTCTTTAAGCTCCGTCCTTCCTTTTAGCTGAAACTGGGACAGTGAAAATAGAAGAGATGAAGAAGACAGCTGTCTTTGATCAAAGGTGTCTTTATTCTACCTCCCGTGTTAGCCGGTATAATAGGGTGAGTAATATTGCAGTTAGGCGTCGAGTGTTAGGTAAGGAGGGAAAGTTAGTCGATGAGGCTGTGAATTTACATAGATTGAGATGACTAAGACATTTGTTACGTATGCCTAGCTACCGCCTTTCTTGACGGGCAGTGTTAGCTGAGATAGGATCAGTTTGGAAAACAGCTAGTGGGGCTAAAAACCAAAACATGGAATAAATCAATGAAATCTTTAATAGTTAGTTTGAGCCACATATGGAGGCGTAGGCTGCCTAGGGTTCCCCGGGATGGTCAGAACCAATGGTTGGAGACAGTTGGCGATTTAGCTGGAAATCAGTGGCGCAGATACATTCAATCTTTGTAATCTGCCATATTCAATAAATAAAACTCTATTGTTTTTCGATTTTACGATTCTTCGTCCCTCACACCTCCGCTTAGTACAGTCCTTTTGAGTCCTTTTTTCTACCTTTCTATAATACGTGGAGTGTGAAAACTTGAAATGATGCACTTCTGTGCCAACTTCTATGCTGAAACTCAGTCAGTGAGAAAGCTGAAATAATGCCAGGCATAAATCTAATTTGTTGGTATTAGATGGTCGGAGGCAATCGGCAGGAAGCCTTGGACCTAGGTTTCGTGCCAGTTGGCACTCATCAGCAAGGCGTATCTGCAACCTGGAAGGAACTGATGTCCCTTCTGAGATTCGAACCCGTATCACCCAGTGCTGCAGTCAGAGACGTTACCACTGAGCTATTCAGGCTCGCTTGCAAACGTAACTGGTAGAATTCAGTCGGCACCGAAGATAGGACTAGACACATTACACTAGTTACTGACTAGTGTTCAATCAAAAATATATCTAATTTGTTGCTGTTCAACACTTAGGCCTAATTATATATTATATAAATGACTTTTTACAAACACTAACAGGTAGTTACATTTGTACTACACAGACTATCTGTTCGATGGTAACCAGTTGCATAGTGTGATCATTAAACTAAATGAAATGACACTGCAGTGTACTTCGATTAGCTTTTAATATTATAATCTATTTGAAATTAGTTTCACATTGATTAGTACTCTTCAAAAGGTATACGTAAAATATTAAGAAGAATTATGCTTGCTGTATCATCCAGAAATTAATCAGTTTTTTCTGTAGCCACTGGCTTCATAGTAAAGTACTTAGGCTGCAAATAATGTATCATTCATATAAGAATAAAACTTGGGCACTGTGGTAGAGTGTAATTCCATTATGGGTAAATTTTATTTTGATAGAGTCTCACAGTGTTATACAGTAATATTTACTGATGACGTTTCGAGCACAATTTATTGCTCATAATCATATCATACCTTGATATGATTATGAGCAATAAATTGTGCTCGAAACGTCATCAGTAAATATTACTGTATAACACTGTGAGGCTCTATCAAAATAAAATTTACCCATAATGCAAATAATGTAAGCTATGGAGGAATGGTGTGTCGGTGACACAGCGGTTATGACTTTCGCCGACCATATACATGGTCCGGGGTTCGATCCCTTGCCGACGGACACCTAATATCTATGGTTGGCCTGCAGAATTTGGGCTGCCGACATCACATGCTGATATCACATACCTGTACCCAAAAATACGGTTTGGAATCAAGCTGTAATCAAAAAAAGTTGTTATTGGGTATGAGTTAATTCAAATTTCATGGATATATTGTGATCTACGGTGAAAAGTGGAAAGCGTTCATAAAGTAATTGGAATATGGTTTAAACCTTTTAGTAAGAAGTATTCTTGACATTGTTCGAACGTACTCAGTGGTTCGAAATACCTTTCACCTAACCCCTTCATCAGATGTTTCTATAGCCACCAGTTTATTTAACATATTGATCTTATCAAAATAAGCATCACCATTTCTGTTAATTTCTAGATTTAAATGTAAACTTAATTGAATTTTGGATTTTCCCGTCGATTGATTGGACCGAAGTGCTCAGTCTCAGGCAGGTACATCCAGTGACGAGTCCCAAATAGGACGAAATGCGCATCCTGGATTCCACTGCTAGTCACCATCCACCAATTGAATATTAAATGTAAACTGTTCAATTCACATTTGGAAAAACAGAGTATATCACTTTTTTTTTTTCCTACACGTTCCCAGTGAAACATAGGGCTTCAAGCTAGTTGCTTGAAGTTTCTGTAGCAGTGTTTATTTTTATAGGATGGGGTTGCTAGCCTCATGCCAAACCTTTCCTCATACCAGCTTTATTTCTGGTTTAGTGAGCTAAAGGAGTGCTTCTGCCGGGGATCGAACCCCAGGCCATGTGCATGGTCGGCGAGCGACCTAACCGCTGTGCCACTGACGGGCGAGTATATCACTGGAGAGTTATAATAAAGTACTAATTGCCTCAGATAAGAGGAAACTGTTCGCCTAGATTTCAACAACAGAAACAAAGCAATTAACAATAATGATGATGAATTTCTCACAAAGTAGGAGGAAAATGACGCCTAAACTGACTTTAGAATCTCTATCGGCAAAATTCGGATTTCAATGTAAGCTACAAATTTACACTGTCTTGTGAAAATTATGATTGTTTCAAATATCACTAAACTGAAACTTATATTCAATTAGACATTTCGTAATCATATTAGAGTTTAGATAGGACACCTACTGAAAGACAGTCAGGTGATTAGTAGTCTGTTATGACTTATTCGATCTCCATTTGTTTAACTCTTATTTTGTACACATATCTAGTAGTTAGCCAGTTAATTGTTTTAAAAAATGCATGTTCTGTTTTACAAGCTTATTATTTTGTAGTTTTGAGAATTTCAAAATGCTTTCTAGTCTGTCGCTCAGTCGTTTGTAGTACGAATTCACTTCAATCCATTTTTAAACTCGTATCATTTTGACATCATAGCATAACGTAAAATATGAAAATGCTGGTCGATAGTAAATCTTTCATCTTACTACATACGTAAATTTGACTAACAACACGTACGAGTGAGTTTTATCTTTCAAGAATATTGTTTAGTACACTTTAATTCTACATTATTTATCTATCAGTTCATAATCTTTTATGCTGACTAAATTATGTTCACCTTGAGTAATGGTAAATATCATTGTTGAACTGTTTTTTGTCATCGAAAGTGTTAATATTTTTGTACAAAGTTTAGATAATTAGGTCAATTTTAGTCACATGTGAATAAATTTAACTGTTAGAAGTTCAAAGCAGTTAATGTCGAAAAAATATATTCAACTCTACTTAGCGATTTATACAACAAAATAAAACATTGATTAGCAAGTGATAAAACTAATGGTTTAGCAGAGAAATCAATTTTGAAATTTGTAAAAGTTTTCAATATTGTACAAATCAAAATGTTCTGATTTCATTTCTCTCTAAATAAGGATATATTTGCACTTTCTTTTATAAATTCAGGAAAGCATCTTGGTTTTATTTTTCACAGGAATGACTTCAACCAGATGCATGAAATACAGATGCTTTCTAAAATGCTTTTCATTCACTTAGTGTTCTAATTAAACAACATTTGTTTAACTTAAGCGTTTCTTACATTACTTTTCTATCGAAGTTTTATTGACCGCGTAGTTTAATCAAAGTAATGAGGGTGGTTTTCACACTACTCATTTCGAGTGATCCGAATTTCTAAATCATTATTTTTGTTACAGGATTTCATCATTGGTCAGAGAACCATTGGAAAACCTGGGAGTACTGGACAGCTGTTTCGTCCTAGTTTGGGACTCTTCATCAGTACACATCCACCGGGGTTCGAACCCAGGGCCTTCTGGTTACAAGGCTAGCGAGCTCGTATACCATTAAGCCACTGGGACCCGATCTAATGGCCCATGAATTCTAACTTCTGCTAATTCACGATATATCGCAATCGCTAGCCAATGTTTTAGGCGAGTATTTGTCCTCACACCCGACCTGCTGCATCCTACTGGTCACGAGTTTTGTCACTACCTGCGATTATGTTAGTATAAAGTACTTAACAATAGCACGGTGCATATCTCCATAACTACATTTATTGCCGGCTGTATTCGATCATTTCTTGTATTATTAAAATAAGTGGATCATAATTATTGATGCATCAATAATAAACACAGTCTAGACGAATTATTCGCCGACACAGCAGAAATACCAAAGCATTATAAAAATGTCTATAGATGACAAAAGTATGATCTTGGCTTGTACTGAAAAAATAATAATTTCATGAAAACGTCTGATTTGCTGAAACTTTCTTGGATTCAGATTATTTTGGTGTTTGTCAATGAGCATTCTGTTTACTTATAATGCTTTTCTGGACAAAGTCCAATGGTATATGCAATAGTTACCTTTTCACAGTATATGTTTCCGAGACTCACTTGACACTACCTGTCTTCTCAGAATTGTGCAAATGATTTTGCACTAAACAAATTAATGCCATTGTATATCATTTCCAGTTAAGTGACTGAGAAGA